GGATGGATGGATTGATGGATGGATAGATGAATGAGTGGAATGATAAATAAATGGCTGATTAGAGAATTGAGTGAATAGATGAACAAATGACTGAGTGAATGAGTGAGCAAGTAAACAAATAAATGAATGAGCAATCCAGAACAGGCCATTTGAATTTTTGCTCTTATTTCAGGGTTCACTCGACTTGAGGACATAGAGTTACCAGAAGGACTGAAACTTCGAGACTTCTTCACCAAAGAAGATGAAGAAACTGCATCTGACTACCAGGTTTATTTAAGATACCCCCCAACTAAGGTACCAAAATCTTAGTATTTAAAAGTTTAGACATACATCAAGATTTTCWGCGAGACTATTTGTTCTTTTTTAATTATCATTTTTAAATTGAGAGGTGGAAAAAATACTTCTTAGAAAAAAAAGTGTATTGCACTGTGCAGGGTGACAGGACATGAGTGACAAAGTGTCAGCAGCCCACATGGCATACATAGAGCTTATTCTTGCTGTCTCCCACTGTTCAGTTGTGTTTCATCAGTATTTCCAGGCTGTGAGTGGCTAATAAATAGCTTGTAAGTTATCAGATCACCCCTTATTTAAATCATTTTTTCAATATCATGATGCTATTGATCTACTTTCATTGACTGAATAATCTTGATGCTGTCTCCCACTGTTCAGTTGTATTGTTTCATCAGTATTTTCAGGCTGTGAGTGGCTAATAAATGGTTCATAAGGTGTCAGAGGACCCTTCAGATGAAGTAGAGACCAAGAATAACCTAGACTTGTAGTTAAAGAGTGTTCTGATGAGGATGGAAGGAGGCACTGCCTCTCGTCATCTGTGCTTATACTTTTTTGTCCTGAACCTGCAGAAAGTTATATTACAATTAATAACTGGCCAGACCCATTTTGGGCCACCCTGTCTTGGTTCCTCACATTACTCAAATTATCCACATGAAAGCACTCACAATATGAACCTTTATGCATACGTACAAAATTACTGTCTTGTGTAAAACTAAGGTTAGACTATGAGCATATGTTCGTTGTTTTGCTTTGGCTTATTTGGCCACGTCAGTGACAAGTCTAATATCCGCAGGGGAGGGGGCTCAGGAGTAAACGACGAGTGGAAAAATAAGGGGAATAAATACAAATGCAGATGCATACAAGCATGATTTGTCTAAGACTTGAGTCCTATACACTAGTGTGATTTTACTTGGCAAGTGTAAAACTACTAAGCATAATACATAGTAGTAATCTTTTTATGTTTTACTTTGACTCTTAGGCACTTAAGTAAACCTCTCTACCTTGGGTGTAATGATTGCTCATTTCAGACCACATGTCATGACTTGAGAATAAGATTCTTTGTTTGAGMRGTATCAATATTCATGTGTCTTCTCATGCGCAACAGTTAAACAAAGAAATTATACTCTAGGGAATGACAGGTGGTCTGAAATGGGGAAACATTACGTCCAAGGTAAAGAGCTCTATTATACAAGTTTGTCTTGTGGACCAAGTAAAATCACTCTAAGTATTAATGATAATAGTAACAAAATATTACCTTGTATAATATGATCCGTTGATTTTTTCCTTAGTGTTGTGAGAAGAGTTATTAGTGCTACTAAAGCAGCAGTGCCAGCTACAAACACCATAATTTGTTTATAGTAGAAACCGCCTGCATTGGGCCTGCAAATATTAAGAATAACATTGCTTGGTATCAATCAGCTGTAGAATGAATCTAACAAGCCCTCAGTAAAAGGCAAACAATGCCCACCATGTGCTATCAACCAGAAAGTATTCTATTGCTTGGTATCAATCAGCTGTAGAATGAATCTAATGAATTTCATAACAAGACCTCAGTAAAGGGCAAACAATGCCTGCCATGTGCTATCAACTGGAGAGTATTCTATTGCTTGGTATCAATCACATGAATAAATCTCATGAATCTTATTACCAAGCCTCAGTAAAGGGCAAGCACTGTCCTTCATGTGCAGAGAGTATTCTATTGCTTGGTATCAATCAGCTGAATAAATCTCATTACCATCCTACAATAACAGGCAAACTTTGCCCATCATATGTCATTGGCCAGAGAGTCTATTGTTTCCTAACACCTTAAGCTGAATGAATCTCATAACCAGCATACAGTGACAGGATACAGGACTTGGWTGATGAACCGACCCACCCCCCTCTCTGGATCTGTCCTAAAAACCTACTCTAAAAATCACTTAATATCAATGTGGGTTTTTCTTACTTTTTAGGGTATAATGCCTGTATGATCTGGACTACGATTCCATTAGACATCTTATCCATGAAGCTCATAGCTCCATACACGAATGCACCAGTTTCCTTTCAAAACAAAATAATAAGCTTGATTAACATCTTAGCTTGAAGTAATATGCCATGTTCATCTAATGTAGAGGTGTTTTGTACTCACACTGCAGAATAGACCTCTTTAGCTTGGGCATAATGTTTTCCCATTTCAGACCATGTGTCATTCCCTGGAGTATCATTTCTTTGTTTAACGGTTGCGCATGAGAAGATGCATGAAATGGATACAACTCAAACAAAGAATCTTATTTTCAAGGAATGACACGTGATCTGAAAATGACTGGAAGGCAATKGGAAGCTATTTCATTGTCGTGTCGTGTACGTGCTGTAGGTCAGTACCGTATTTTTCGCAATTATAACAGCCATTCTTATGGGAAGCATTTCAATGTTACGGCATGTCGCTACCGTGTACTGTGCTGTAAGTCAATACCGTGTGTTTCTCGCTCATACGATAACAATTCTTATCAGGAAGCCATTGCAATGTTTCCCACTCATACGAAAACCATTCTTATCGGGGAAGCCAATGCAATGTTTCCCACTCATACGAGAACCATCCTTATCGGGGAAGCCATTGCAATGTTTCCCACTTATACAAAAACCATTCTTATGGGGGAAACCATTACAATGTTTCCCACTCATACGAAAACCATTCTTATGGGGGAAACCATTGCAATTTTTTTCGCACTCATACGAGAACTATTCTTATCGGGGAAGCCATTGCAATGTTTTCCACTCATACGAAAACCGCTCTAGGCATAGCCTAATCGAATAAGGCCTGACGTGCTATTACGTTTTAGAATATCTAACATACCACATTTTCTCCTATGAGGTCAGCTAGCATAGTCAACGCAGTAACGAGTAACGTTGATCCCCCAACGCCAATCAAAACACTAACGCCATAGACCTGCGCATTACGAGGAGGCAGAAACCACATCCATATGCTGAAAAACAAACAGCATATAAATACACTAAGAAACAAAACCCTTTATCAATACCCGGAAACAAACTCTGRGCTAATCTATGTCAGGGCATGGAAATCTAACGTGTTGGGTTTTGTGGAAGGATGAAAACCAGAAAACCTGGAGAAAAACCCTTAAGGGAGAGATCTAACAAGCTCTACTCAAATGTGATGTCGTCTCTTACCTCTAAGGTTAAATCCGTGACCCCAGAGGTGAGAGACGAATGCATTACCGCATTGCCATCTTTGATTAATTAGAGAAGGTTACCCACTAACATCCCAGAATTCCGGCCAGCAGTACGCGGTAAATTCGCAATTTATTGGCTGACAACATTTTGCTTGCCAGCAACGTTAGACCTGAGGTCGTCGTTTGTTTCCAAGAGGATCGCGGACGCACCACCGCTGGAAATCGCGCTTACTACGAGCCTGCAGATCACACGCTGGAAATTGCCGTGCGTGCAACGTTACCGAAGTAGATTTCAATGCCAAAAATAGATACAAAAATAAATCGCATTTGTTTTTACGACAATAGCAATTAAACTTGGTAGAAACTCACCAAACAGCAAATATGGTTATTAGTCCACAAAGGAACACTCCCTAAAAATATAGACATTAATTCTTAATTAGACTGTTTTCCCATTGTACAGTTATTATAATTTTGATCGAGGTTGCTTAAGCAGCTAAAGCTTAGTAAATCCCGGCAGATGATGCCGTTACAATGAATATAAATTCGACTTGACAAAACAAACAGGCCAAAACTAGTATAGGCCCTAATGTGCCTCTCGAAGACTGGGCAGAGCATTTGGATAGAAAGGAATCGGCTAACGACTRTGACGAGCAAAATAGATTGAAAGTTATATATATATATATCTCGAATTATTTTCGAAGCCAAAAAAAGGAAAGAAAAAGAAAAAAAAAAAAAAAACAGGGGCAAAAGTTTGAGATGGCCAGCCATCCAGGTGCTTACCTCCTCACACGAGTTTTTTCCCACTGTCTTTGCGAGCCTCTTATTGCCCCGCCCCATGGATACACCCTCAATATTCCTGTTACCTCCACTCAATGTTCATCCCCCTCCTCTGTCACTGGCACTAACCCTCACTGTTACCCCCCCCCCTCCCCCCTTCCTGTATTTTTGTCATAGTAAAACTACCTTGCGACCAATGTACTTGTTGAGTGGTTTGGACAAGAAAGTGGACACGAATCCACTGACATACACAATCAACGGCATGATAGCTATTTTATCCTGAAAGAGAAAAAACAAATAACCCCATTGCAGCACTTTGGATTGCAGCTCAATTTGGAGAACATAACAATAAGTTTTCAATTCTTTTGTTATGTCCTTCAGTGATTACGAGCGTATGCAAATGAAGAGGCAAAGGCAATATGTCCGGGCATTCTGCGCCATGAAATTGAGYTCCTTTGACGTCCCACGCAAGGGGTCTATAAAAGTGTATTGATCCAAATTTGTTTAAAAGGAGGGAGCAATAGGCTCCATTGATGCGTCACACTTGAAAAAAATATTGTGTAGGAGTTTTCGTAGTCTCCCCCGCAGCCGTTCTTAGTGTCGTCACGCGTTGCGTTTTGCGTGACGACACTAAGAAGACAGCTACGCGCGAGAGAGACGAGAGTTCTCGTTGCAACATAAAAACTTTTTCCACGCGCGGAGCGAAAATATAAGCACCATTAGAAACATCCCGCCGTAAGAATGCTGAGACACGGTCATATATGTATRTATGAATATATATGTACGTATGACGTGTATGTATGGAATATGTGAATATAGATATTATGCGCATACATAAACATAAAAACTTATTTGGAAAAAAGTTGATGTGCAACTATGTACAAAACGCCAAATAAAATCTGTCTGTCTGTCTGTCACGGTCACGCTACGGCAACGTTACGGCCGTACGACGTTTTTTACAGTCATTAAAGCAAAAGGGGCGAACTGGTTTTTTTTATTCTTTCGTCTTCTGTATTTTGTTTGAGAGGGGGGGGGGGGGGGGGGGGGGGGGGGGGAACGAGCTAGATGAAATTTTACCTTGGTAAGATGAAGCGTCTCCAGCGTATACATTGGAATGTAAACTTGAGTGATATTGACGATTAGACGTACACACATGTACATGATGGCTGTCTAGGACACAATGGAAATGAGGAATGGGAAATGCAAAGTGAGATGGGTGACATGAAAAGTGAGAAGTAATGGACCTATCACAAGCCGCTGCCATGTTCTAGAACAGTGACAGGAAAACCAGAGAACCAGAGAAAACTTTCGAATCAAGGGAAAAAACTAACAGAATCTAACCACACGTGATGCCGAGTCCAGGAATCAAACCCGACACCCAAGAGGTGAGAGGTGAGTTCACTACTGCTACATCACATTAAATCCCAAAATGGGTTTATTTACCTATACTATAATAACTAATAATACGGTCCATAATGGCTGGTTTAGTTTCCACTTGGCAATGAACTCGAAAAAACGTTCATGCGTAAATTTGCAATTGAAAATCGCTCGTCATAAAGCGTAAGCTCAAGCCAAGAAAAAAGAAACCTTCCGAGGCGCTCCTGACTCCGATTACGACTCCTTCTGTTTTCCGATTTTCACTTCGTCATATATACGCTAGAAGCTTCCGATTCCGACTCCAATTACCAGCACGATYAGTATAATTATCTAATTAAGCCGTGCTGATATATACCTGATAAAACAGCGGCACCTTAAACCACATGACCCAGTTGGAAGCAGACCGTCTGCTTGACTTGGTGGCGAACTCATGGGACGCGTCACGTGGTCGTTCCTTGACACCGATGTGGAAGATCGTGACGAAGAACAGTCCAACCCCGACAACTATGAACACCACATACTGAAAAATATTTAGTAATCATGATTAAAACGCTATACTGAATAATGTTTCATCCCTTTGGAGGTGGAGAAAAAAGAAAAAGGTCAGAGGTGTTAAGGTTGGTAATCAAAAGTGGCGCAGCGGGATAAGGAAAGAGAAACCCCAATCTCTTATCCAGTACCTTTATTCCTTACTGCGCATGTTCGACGAAATATTTATTTCGTTGAGCATGCGAAGAAATAAAGGCTATGAGTACGTGATTGGGAAAACTCACGAAGCAATAGTGCGAAGCAAATGCGCACTAGTTTACACCCTGAATCTGAGGGACTAGTTCAGCTGTTTCTTACCATAAAAGCCGTGGCGTCAGATGTTGAAAGCTGGTTTGGATCCGAGGCTTCTTTTCCTGAGTCTAACATGATCCAAGTGATGATGAATACGAAAATATTGGAAGCTACTGTAGCAGCGTACCTGCAAGACAAATAACAGAAATAAAATCTCATTGCTTTCCTGTCCTTTCGCTTTTTGCATCCCTACTCTTCTTTTCCTCTCTCCTCTCCTTTCTTTTTCCTCTGAAGTTCAATTCCTCAGTTGTGTGTTAAAACATCACTCACTGATCTCAGAAACGAAAAAGGGATGCTTAAATATGTAAAGGAAATACCATTCGGTTTTCGACGCACTCACGCAGTGCCAAACATCGTTAGTTGTCATTATGTCATCAGAGGAACAGATATACAGATTATAAAGTATAGATATGATAGCCAAAAGAAGGAAAAAATGCTGATAAAAAATTAGCGCGTGTTTTAATATCTCAAGGTCAAGTAGTAGAGTGCAAACAATACTGATAACCGTGAAACTTTGCAATAATACTAAATAGCACAATTTCATGCAAATTCCATTGTTTTCTATTGTTTAATTAGCACTATTTTGCACTATTTAGTAATTAGTGTTTCACGGATTAATTGCTTGCACTTTAAAAGTCTTCTCTCAATATCTTGGGCGTAATGTGTTCTCATAATGTCAGACCACGTTTCATTCTTTTGAGAATAAGATTAAATTGTATCCAGATTCATAGTTAAGATGATACTCTAGGGAATGACATGTGGTCCCAAATGGGAAACGGAAACAAGTTATCAAGTTCTATTATATCAGGGAGTTCTGTATAAGTACTTGTTCGCCGAAACCATATACTCTTCGGTCAAGGTCAACCTGTATAAATATCTATCATGTCTACATTGTTGACAATTAATGCTTAAATAATTGTTTTCAATCATACTAACGAGTTTCGGAGATTAAATCCTTTGTTTTGCCTGATACTTTGGAAACTTTAGAACTGTGTGATTTTAGAAGCGACAAAACTTGGGAGATTTTAAAAATTGTATACACTATATCAAATGTACATTTAATCTTCATCTAATTATTCACAGTTTTCTGGTTTGAAAATTTTGTTTCGCGCATTTTATTGATCCTTCTAGTAGCTTTGCACATTAATTTATTTTATTCTTTCTTTAAAAAAATCCATAGACTGATGTTTTGTGATGTATAACAGAAGATCATCTCTAGCGAAGAAAAATAATTCGTATATTCGTTAGCCTGCGTTCAGGCGGTTTAAATCTTCGGCTGAATGCAGGCTACTATTCGTACTATCGCCACAACGCACAAGCAATGGAGTTAAATACAAACTCACCGTCCAGCATTCAGTTCACATTTATCATGCAGAGAATCTGCAAGCTCGGGAATCAGAGACAGATGTGAAATCTGCGCACAACCCCAGCCTAACTGGAGCAGAAATATAAACGGTACATAGTAGAAAAACATTGCCCAGTGCTCAGCATTCCCACAACGAATGCACAAGTTGAATACGAAAGGRAACGCACTGGCCAAGACGACACTTCCAGCWAGGTGCCAGTTCTTTCTAGAACCATATTTCCAGTTTCGAGTTTTATCCATCTCAAAGGCGACAAACGGTGTGAACACTGCGTCGAATATTTGACCTAGTAGTAGCAGAGTCCCAGCAGCAGCACTCGAAAATTGTACTATATTCTTCATGTAAATCAATAAGTAAGTGAACCAAGTTGCAGCACATAAATCGTTGAGAATGTGTCCGAAGCTATAGCATATTCGCGTCCTCCAGCTTAGAGCGTTAAGCTCTTTTAAAGGCGTACCAATGCTTGCCATTTTAGTAAACGCGTTATTCTTTGTTCAAAGACTTGGSTTTGTTTACTGTAAGGTGATCACATGCGCAGATCGAGGCGAAGGAGCTTTTTGGGTACAAAGGTTAAATCTCTTTACGTTCGTGGCATATAACATTTGTGCACTCGCCTCTTACTAGGTCTCAGGTTTGAAACTGTAGGCGCGTATTTTGCATCACACGTGAAGCAGAGTTTGGGGAGTTTGTTAGGTCTCTCCCTTGACTGGATCAAAGAGTATTTTCGTCTCTGAATTTTCCGATTTCCTACCTCTGCAAAATTCCACTGAATTCCGGCATCTGTGAGTTATAGCTAAGCCCAATCTTGCTAATTAAGCTTCCTAAGATCAGCCCTGACTTCGAACAGCCCAGTTGTTGAATTGTTTTGGGGCTAGATAAAATTGAGATTGAACCGCGTAATGTTTTGGTTGGATTTCGTCATTTTTGTTGACTCACGTTATTTATTTAATCAGTATTTTTTTCTCCAATTAAAATGTTTAAAAAATATATTAGACAAACTTATCTTCTTACTTTAGTAATTTTAAATCCATTAATTTTTAATTTATTTTATAAAGAATATTAGGAAAAATAATGACTGGAAAACAAGTAATTTTTCTAGGATTGCGTGACAGCGCTAGCGTGCGTTGCACCCGAATGGAACTTTCTTCGTAGGCTATTAACACTAAATAATTTTGAGTGAATAATTAGAACAATATTTCATAAAATAAATAGAGATTACTAACCTAATAGCGTTCAAATCACACTTCTCTTGATCATTAGTTATGAGTTCAGGAATCAAAGAGAGATGAGAGATCTGTGTGGCGGCCCATCCGAACTGGAACACGACGATGAACGGAGCGTAGTAGATAAACATAGCCATGTGCGAGGGATTTGAACAGCCAACACACAAGTTAAAGATGAAGGGAAATGATATAACCACACATATAACTCCAACTAGATGCCAAATCTTTCTTCTTCCGTAGCTACAGCGCTCGAGTCTATCAGACTCGATTCCTACTAACGGCGTAGCAATGGCGTCTGCGACTTGCCCGATTAGAAGTAGCACTCCAGCCTCGATGCCCGAGAATTTGACGACTTTCTGAAGGTAAACAAGAAGGTAGGTGAACCATGCTGACGCTGTGAGGTCGTTTAATATGTGACCTACTCCGTAGCATAGTTTTGTTCGCCATGTAAGTGTTGATAGCGAAGCCATTCTCTTATCTAACTCTTCATCAATTGCTCTTCAGTTATAATCGAACGCATTCGAAGAACGAAAATTAAATAAAGTTTATCTTCCTTGAATGTAAACCAAAAGGGAAAAAAATGCGGCTCCGTCCTTAGCGAAGTAGTAAGCGGAATTATTCTGAAGCTTGCCTGCGTTGTTAGGAAGTTCAGTATTTTGTCACATACTTGAATAAGGGTTGACTTTTAAATTTATAAGCCAATCAGATGGCGAGTTGAAATGTGTTATTGGACTCAAAGTGTTTTTACTTAGAGATGAGGGCAAAACAATTGTAATCTTAGGGGGGAGGGGTGGTGTTACCCGGTACCCACCACCTCTGGAAGRGAAATCTAAGATTTTGTCCACAAATATCTCAAAAACTGAAAGCCAAATCMCAGAAATAAATGTACTGTCTGTCTGCATGTATGCTAAAAAACATATTTGTGAATAGATATCGCCACTACAGACCCCCAGTATCGAGCATTTGAAGAGGTCTCTGAAGGGGGAGGGGGTATGTACCGGTACCCACCACCTTAATTCATGAAATCGGGTCCCTATTTTGGACCATTGTTTTGACCTCGTCCCTTAATATAAGGAAAGATTATGTGTAGCGAAAAAAAGGTAGTAAATCTTATCATTTTTAAGGCTTTTCAAGTTAAGCCTGGTTTTTGATAGCGACACAAACGTAGGGTCGGTGTCCACTGGTAGAACGAAGCTTGGGATTGGGCAAAATAACAAAAACAAAGAAAGCATGGATTATGGTGAACAATGTGTATTGTTCTACATGTGAGCTGCGTTCTTTGTTTTATCTCACCATTCATTGTTTGTTCATCCACTCCCAGGCTTCGTTCTGCCTGTTGTGTGTTACCCCAAACGTACAAAACGCATGCACAAAAGAAGGAAAAATTAGTCTCGATGCTTGCGTTCGTGCCTTTAAYTTGCTTGGACTGAGCCTATTTTGACAATAATTCTTACGTCGCTAGTGACAAAAACTAGGCTTTAGCTTTGCTATATTATTACGTTGTTGTCACGGTTGTTGAAGAAGTTGCGCACCACTTGTTCATGCAGTTAGCAATATTACTTTCTTTCTTTCCTTCTTTCATTTCTATTTACCACTCCGATCATTTGCCGGTCATCTGAAATATGTGCACACCCCACAGATTTTGGGAACGTGGAGAATTGTTATACAAAAACTGACGAGTTAACCGCAGACTTCATTGCAAGTATCTGCCTAAAATAGAGAATTAGTGAGGTCTATAAGAGTGCGCACTTTTTAGATTATTCTTTTAAAAGGAAAAACAATGCATCTTTATTGGTATAAAATATTTTATTTTCAAATCAAGTCGAAAATAATTTTCGATGAGTTTTTCTTGCATCCTGTAAAATTTTTCCATAAACATCTTGTCAATCATTGATCAAATTTCTGCTATTTTTTGTAATTCATCGTTTTCAAGAATTTGTACATATGTACACTTACTGTAATTGATTTTTACAACTTACACAATAAATACTAAMAAATATCGTGTAATTTGAAAAAAATATTTACAAATTTTGCTATTCAATTTGGTAATTCTAACTACATTTCCTAGCCAAAGAATTTCTTCACTCCTGAATTATTTTTTACAATTTTAGATTTCTAGACATGCATTTTAAACTTCTTATTTTCAAGATGGCGGCGTTACTACAGGAGCGCCATGACATCATCGACTGATTGTATCATCTTATTGGTTTAAGGTAGTCACGTGTCAAGGCTATGCAACTGCATGGTTTTCGTGTAAATGCTGGAAAAGAAATAAATAAGTTTGATGAATATTTTTGATAAGGTTTAAACGATACCCCAGTTTCGAGTTCTTTGCCCCTCAGGATTAGCCTCAATTTTGTGTAGAATAGTCATGTCTTCCAGAGTATTCCAGTGGAATTTCAAAGTGTTTGTAYTGCTAAAGTTGTGCATTCTTTACTTTACCGTTCTGATTTTCACCATTTTCCATACATCACTGGTCAAACACAAATCATTCAGTCGAGGTTGCAGGGTTCAAATTTGAATAATCCTTTGAAAGTACCTTATTGCCTCGCTTGATCGCTTTGTGTTTGACCGGTAACCGACGTATGGAAAATGGTGAATATTTAGACACTAATTTGAGGCTTACCCTGAGTAAATGAGTCTGTAATCAAAGAACACAGCGGTTTTTTGCAACTCGAAAAAGGTCTATTTTCATCTTACGGGACCCGATATAGAGGCTTTGCACTTTCGCATTATGGCAGCCATGACAGGAGGCACGATCATAGTCTTTTTCCCACTGGGAAACTAAATTCTTTCTCATGTATCATGTTAGACCAGATTCAATTGTTCCTCTTCCTGTCATGGCTGCCATCACATGATGGTGTAAAGCCTTTATAAAGGAGAGGGGTCGGGGAATCCAGTACCGTGAGGCGTGAGAGGGTATAGACCCCTTACAGAATATCTCCAATGCAACATTATCCAGAAGATAAAACAATGAATCCTATTTTCATGAGAACTGAAATTCATTGTTACTTTTGTCCTCTTAGTTGAACGGCTCTGGGAATTGCTGAAACCGTTACTCATGACCTACAGCAATAAACCACTCTTATATTCAAGACAAGATAAACTGGATATTATTTATGTATACCTTAACTCTTAGAGTATTGGGCGTCTCTCTTGCTCTTTGAACTTTTGTCGCCCTAAAACCAAAATCAGAATCATCCCATTGAGTATTATACACAGATAGATTTAAAACAATTTATTTCTTGCCTACCCTGTTCCCCTTCCCCTTCTTGTCCCCGACCCCACCCTCTTTTGCTTTGGAACACCGCCTACATAGTAAAAGGTTAGAAATACTTGCTGTTTTCCCTCTTAGAGATACCCTGGTTCCCAAGTTTTTATTCTCGTTAGCACTAATCACCACCACAAGTACAGCAGTGGCGCAGCTCAACGGGGTCGAAGTGAAAGCATGTGAAAGCGCCTCTGCCAACCGCTATACAGTCCATGTATGACCACGAAGCATAGTTCTTATCACTCCCTCCTGCCTCCCTCCTGCCTCCCTCCTGCCTCCCTCCTGCCTCCCTCCTGCCTCCCTCCTGCCTCCCCTACCATCTTTGGAGCGGCAACACGAGCTAACCAATAAAGAGCTACAATACTTGATGCCCCCCACCCCCCTTAAAATATCCGATTAACGAATTCTTCTATTCTTACCTTGCCGGATTCGTTAGGGGATTGCTTGGTCTCCTAATCCGCGGTCCAGTATCCCCGGGTGTCCCGCTGCCGTCGGGTCTATGAACAACAGGCGCAGGCCCCGATATCACAGACAGTCCCATGGACTGCGGTTGCTGGGCGACTTTAACCACGTTAGGGAATGGATGAACCGTACAGGCATACTGCTGCGTTATGTTGTACGGCGAATTAATCCCTGCTGGGCTTGCTATGGTACTCCCAGAACTCGTTGCCATGGTTATCCGTGGGTTCGCTCGTGCTGCGTTGGGCGGCGTGTCGTGCGGAGGCTTGGCTGCTGAGGCACTGTACGTCCTTCCCTTCTCCCCTGAACTTGGGTGACTATCACTTCGAGTCTCGCATATCTGATTATACCCAGTGAGTCTTGGTTCCTCTAAGTTAACATTCGAACGCCACTCTGTGGTGTCTGTAACACTACTAGATGACTTGATCATGGGTTTTCTAGGAACGAGTCGATGCCTTGGTATACCGAGGGGGGAAAAGTTACTCCCAGTGTTCCCAGCAGAAGTTGAGCCCACATAGAAAGATCCTAAGGATCTCCGATCACCGCGGCTCGCCGGGTGCTGCTGATGGTGTGGGTTCAGATTGACAGTGGCGGACAGCGGTAGGGCTTGGTACGGTAGCATCCGGTTGTAGGAGTTTGTCGATGAATACGCTGAGGCAGCTCCTGCAGAGGATAGCGCCGATGAAGCCTGGAGATTTGAAATGACTCTGTCAGCTAGTGATCTTGCTATCGACGCGTCGTCTTTTGAATTCTAGAAAAAAATAGATAAATAAATAAATTGTAATCACTTTTAAGAGAAAACTAAGAGGAGTATCTGGTTTTCAAGCTTGTAACCATCATAGGCACCGTTTGATGTTTTTTAAGGATCACATTTGCTATCTGCGCGCGCACAAAAAAAAAGAAAAAAAAAGAAAAAAAAGAAGAAAAAAAAAGAGAAAAGAGCGCGCGTGCGTAAAAAAAAAGATCGAATGAATTATTTTAAAAAAAGCATCAAACATTCTAAAAATAGCATCAAAGAATGTCCATGATGGGGCGCAAATTTCTTTTGGTAATTTTCAATGTAATTGTAGTTGAAGGTATTGAGTTTAAAATAATTTCTATTCGAATATTGTATTCCAGGGTAAGTAGTCTTTTTATAGCAGCTTTGTGTCCGCTTGTTTGAAATCCCTCTTGATCTTGATATATCGCAGCTGAGTCGTACAGATTGCGTCATAGGAATGAAAGCAAGCTATGTTTTTCGGATCGARCGATGGAGTGATAAACGAACTTTGAGAAAGTCAAGGGACATCACTCCGCTAATTAAATGTAACACCAACAAACTACGAGTGGAGAAAACCTACCYTATCATGAAGATAACAGTTCTTCTGAGGGCCTCCAGTACCAGGGGTACAGTGAAGAAGTTTGTAAACAAATTCCACCACGCCGAGTCCTCGTATGAGGTTGTCTCGTTGTAGAAGCGATGTTATTCTCTCTAGCTCTTCCTCCTCGGTTATCTCCATGGGCTTGGTGGTGTCGAGGAAGAAAGTCGAATTGCTGGGCTTGGGGAGATCCTGAATGTGTTAAGACAAAAGAAAACGTTAGTGGGGAATGGGTGAAAAATAGATGAAAAGTAGAATTGATTAGTTAGTTCAATAGGGAAGGAAAGAAAGAATGAATGAAATCAAGTTTGGGGAAAAGAACGAATAAAAAAAAGTGCAAGAAGGAAGGAAGGAAAGGAATAAAGAAAAAAGTAGAAGAATGAATGAAAAAAGGGAATAAAGAAACGAAAAAAGAAATAAATAAATAAAAGCACGAATGAAGGAAGCATTACCTGAATGGGTTTAGTTCTACTGAGGTGATTTTTATTAAATACCCTTCTCGTTGACCGTCCCCCATGAGGACTCTCTGGTCTCACGGTATCCTTTTTAGATGATTTCTTGTTCTGTTTTGCAACGTCAAGCTCATGTTTAGCCGCAATCTGCTCGCGTTGAACTCTAAACACAAGAAACCAATGGAATAATTAAACAATCTTAACGAGTAGRAATTTCAGTTAATAATCTAAATTATAAAATATTTGAAATATATAATAAAAGATAATGTATATGATAATATGCAGCTGGTAAAGTCCTCCACTGGTCTTAAAAATGTAAAGCGCATCAAGACGATGTATCAAATAATTATTATAAATCCTGCGTTCTGATTGGTTGTGAGCGCGTGCTTTATGAGAGCACACCGTACGCGCGCGCACTTCCAGTTGCGTCATTCCTATCTAAAATAACGGTTATTGTAATTTGTATTACGTCGTGCTTCTCCTAACACTTCTCTCGTGTTCTGCCAACCCCCGCGTGCTTTGTAACTGCACACAGCACGCGCGCGCGTTTTCTATTTCTTCACTATAAATGCGCTATTTAAGAACCTCCCATTATTATGATATGACGCGCGCGGTTCTTGGCTGGTTACCGTGATTTTATTCTTTTAAATTACGTTTTTTTGCGTATTCTTTACTTATTTCTATACACAAACCTTGCACATTCTGTCCTTGCTTTCGAAGCCGCCGTTTCCTGGAATAAGGAACAACTGTTTTCGAAGAATTTTTCATATTTTTCTTCATTGCCTTGCGGGTAAATTCGTCTAAAAATTCATCACACACAAAAGAAAAATTTAATAAATTAATGATTATAATTAAATTAAACTGCGTATCAGGCCCTGGGGAAGGGGGACTACTATGAGGTTATAATCAGTACCAAGAGAATATGAACTAAGAGAAGGAATCCCCGTGCCCCATTATGTGCACACTTTGATGCTATTTTTAGAATCTATTCTAAAAATATCATCCAATGATATCATTTATTTGATCGTTTGATTTTCTGCACGCGCATAGTACGCGCGCGCTCTACGCTGTTTGCTAACGTTTTCTTGCGCTTTCCTTATGTTCAAATGTTCAAATCTGCCCTCAAGATGACGATGTAGGTCGAAAGTTTTGGAAAATAAATGCTAAAATACTCCAGAAAGTGGAACAAATTACTACTTCAATTTCCTGTCGTATTTGCCAAGCAATCGACGTGCACATTCATATTCAGGGCTGAGTCGAAATAACGGAAAAAACCCTAAAAAAGTAAGCAAACAGCGTATAGCGCGTGCAGTAAATGCGCGTGCATAAAAACAAATGGTTCAAAAATAGCATCAAACTGTGCACATGATGGTTACAAGGCTGTATAGGGGGGGATTCCTTCTCTTAGTTCATTTTCTCTTATCAGTACTTATTAGACCAATTTAAATCTTAATGGTGAAAATCAAGATTTAAAAAAAATCAATTTACCGGTATTTTCCAAGGTTTTTATCTTCGTATTTTGTTGTCCATTCGTTGTACTGTGCCTGAGAATCGACACTTTCTTCGCGCCTTGAATTGGAAATGAAAAAATAGAACAAAAATAAGTAAGTGATAAACTTTGCCATCAAGATGTAACATTGATTATTTTAGTTGTTCATTGTAAAATCCAATCACTAAGAATTTGAAATAAAATTTAAATATGAGAAACAACGATAAACGTTTGAGACACAGGACCCTAGTTTAGAAAGGAAATATAAAGATGAATTTACTTAATATATTTAGGACTTTTCCTTACTTTATTTCTTTTGGTTTTTGTTTTTGTAACAACCTATCGCGAACCYGTCTCTTGTCCTCGTCAATGATTTTCCGTCGATCACAGGCACCGAAGTTCAAGAGATTCAAGGCATCCATCATCAAACCCTCTTTGATCTCYTTGTCCAGAGGGGAATCCGTCGTGAAACTCGGCGAATGGTTGACCTAAAGATAGTGAAAGATGTTAAACAATTTGCATTGAGCTTGGGGGATAAGTTATCGAAAAATAAGGATCTACAAGCGTCGAGCACTCGCCACTTTAAATCAAATAAAAATTCTGCGATGACGGCACTATTTCTAGGTATCTGTCAGACTTTGTCTTTAAGTTTTTGTTACAAGGCAAGTGAAGATCTAGCAAAAATGTGGCTCAAAGATTTCGTTGTCAAAAAGCCGCAATCGCTATTGCACTCTTTTTTCTCGCGCAAACAAATTGCGAAAATAGTTCAAAGATACATTAGAGTGCATATAGTCCGCGAACAAAATTGTTCGAATTGCGCAAATTTGCAATAATTAGTTAGTTCAATAGACCGTTGACATACAAACCTTCGCACTAATTTGTACAATTTTGTTATTTTTTCAAGGATATTTGGTATGCACTCTACCCAGTGTCGCATATTTAGAACAAAATGTTTACAGTTACATGAATTAATAAATATTCTTCAAGTCCGCGAAACCAATAATAGTTTGTCGAAAAGGACGGTAACAATGCGCTGATCTTCCAATCAAAACTCGATGCCGTTTCAGGACTTGAATCGGACGATTACGCCCTGCGAGACAAGTCGCAGAAAAAATTCCTCCGCATAATCGCGTCTCAAATCTTGTCCGCCTCGCATATCARAAATGACGGAAAATAACAATTGATAATTGTCCCATTTCGTATTTTTCCTCTGCTTACCTCAATAACCCATGGCTTTAGTTTTTTGTCTAATAAAATATCAAAACCCAGGATCTCAAAGCAGGCGCTGCCTTTGTTGTGGTTGGGGAAACAGGTTCTGTAGTTGTGTTTGAGGATGGGATGAGCTGTAATCAGCGTTTTAATTATAACATCCTAAAAAAAGAAAAAAAAGATCAAACATTAAGTATAATTTCTCATTTATTGATTCTATATTTTTCGACTGACTTATCTGAAACTTGTGAAAAAGCTGTGAAAAATTTTCACAAGGGAAGTTAAAATCGCGTTAATGTTCATGTCAGATTTGGTTTCAGGTTTCAAAATGTGGTAAAATATGCCTCTCCTTTTTCTAAAMCTTTTTCAAGAACTTAAACGAGCAATAAACATTTTTCCTTTAATAAGTCAACATGAAGACAACGCTCAATATTTACTCAAMTATCAGTTGCAACACTTTTGGCAAACTTATTGAAAAACTTATTTTTCAAAATCCAAATTTACAAGGTATGTTAAGATTTTAGGCTTTGTTCTCACCTCAATGCGTCCCCAAATTTCTTTAATATCGTAACCATTTTCTTCAAACCACTTGTTAACGGTCGTTAATCTCCTGCAAACAAAGTTTGGCTGCAGTTATAAATATGTTCSTTTATATGATCATAATATTTACATTATATTCGTTATTGAAATGATCTTACAAATAAACAAAAAAATAGTGCCTACTACYATGTATCAAGATTACTATTTTTTTACGTGCCAAGTAAAGTGAATCCATCGTTATTTAGTAAAATGTAAAATTATTATTTATTGAATTTAGAAAGAATTCTTACCTTTTGCTTCCAGTTTCTTCATCCCTAATGAAATCTTTACTGTGTTTATTAATGGCATAATTCGTAAGGTGCATACAAATGTCGTCCTAAAAACAAACAGCAATAATAAGAATGATGTGTGAGAAAATTGCATTATTGATATCCTGATAATCAATTCACTTTTAAACTTTCTGTTGCTTAGGGTTAGTCTGAACTTTGTGTTCCAGTGAATGGTAGAGTGCAAACAATATATCCGTGAAACACTAATTACTAAATCGTTCAAAATAGTGCAAGTTAAACAAAAGAAAACGATATAATTAGCATAAAATAGTGTAAGTTAGTATTACTAATATTTCACGGATATATTGTTCGCACTCTTGCTGTGAAATTTCAAAGTGTTTGTAAAATATTGTAAATAGTTGTGCATTCTTTACTTTACCAAAAAAATTCCACAGTCATAATTGACAGGCAAGGTGGGCATTTACACCCTCCCTAAAACTTCATTTCCAGAATTATTATTTATCTTAGACACAATGTGGGAGAAATTCAATTTTGTTCCATATCAAGATAACTGAGAAGCTCTGTGAGACTAAATAGAGCAATTTATGGCTGAAATTCACAATGGAGATGTCGGAATTAGGTGGAAAATTTTGGTACCAAAATTTGGTACCCCTCCCCCCATCTCTTGAACTATTGCTGTGCCAGTGTCTAATGATAAAAATGGCATGTTTTTCCCATTTATATAAAACTTGATTGATTACTGCAGTTTTTGATATTCTGCGAACTACCACATTTTAACGGCTGGAACTGTGAAATTGGTTTTTCACTGTCGCCAGTCAAAAAACCTAAAAGGTACCAAATGATTATTTTTGTTTGTCGACAGCGAAACATCCAATTTCAATGTGCAGCTTGCAACTACCAGTTCACAGAATATTGCAAAACTGCAGTAAAAACACCAGTGTTACATACCAAGTTACTATTCTGTGGTTCCGTGTATGGCATTGTAGCAAATCTACCCAAGCCATCTTCATATACAAATATTCGCAGTGGGTCACAAGATGTAACCAACACATAAATTCGAAGATCAAATTTGAATCCGTCTATAAGAAAAGGTTTGGATATGTACTGTTGACAAACTAAGTGTTCTCCTGGTTTGATATCCTGAAATGGAAATGAAAATATTTGATATAGTAAAGTCCCATTATCTCAAATCCTACTAGGAACAGGAGAAAGGTTTGAAGGGAACCGTTTGAAGACAACCCCACTGATCTGTTTCTATTTTAACAGCAGCATTTCTGGCAAAAAAAAGGAATCATCTCTGCTAGGGAAACAAGTTGACCAATTAGGACTCTGTTGCAGTCCCAGGGGGGGGGATTACCCCCATATATGGACTATACGGGGATGATCCGCTGAACAGGGTATGGTTTTTCKAGCTTCTTGTCATAAACAGGGTATGCAATTTCACTCAAGTTCAAAGTTCTTCCCGAGTTTTCTGTCATATTCAGGGTTTCTACTTTCGTATTGACCGAAACTGGTTATTATGGTCGTAAAAAAAACAATACGCGAGCTGACATGATAATTGAAACGGGAACTCAGTGCAATTAATTATATCTTTTGTCATAAACAAGGTCTTCAAATTTGGGTTTTTTTTGTCATAAACAGGGTACCCCTTTCAGAATCCCAGCGGAACACCCCTACCCAAATTCTGGCGGAGTACCCCCCCCCCAGGGTTGCAGTATGCATTTATTATTAATCATATAAAACTTAATTTTTACAAAACATAAACATCATTGACTTTTGGCAAGTTTAGTTCACCCCCTCTGCAACACACATCTTACTTCAATCCTCTTATTGTTTTTACCATATTTTTGTTAGCATAAACTTTCTTACTTATCCCACTATTTGCTACAAGGGAATCTAGAGAATATAACCATTTAAACCAGTCCCTCGTCAAGCTAAAATTTGGTATCATGTTTTCATTTCCATCTAAGTGTGAAATTATAAAATGTTCTGCCAGAGGCAAAAAAACTAGATTTGTACCTTAGGGTTCTTAGTAATGACAATTCCTTTGCCTTGACTCCCACTTTCAGGTTTTGTTATAAATGTTTTATTCTTCTTCTGCCTACAATATGCTTGGAATTCACCATAGCTAGATAATAAAAAGAAAAAAGAAAAAATATATACAAAGTGTTAACTAAAATCACCATCCTTAAACTTTTTAAAATAGAAATGAAAACATTTTTGGGAATAAAGTTTTTACAAAAAACATGAGTAATGGAAATATGACTTGACATTTTGGCTATGTTGATGATAGCCTTCAGAAATGTAAAACAACTGCAAATGGAAGCGGTGAAGGTTAATAGTAAATGATAAATTTAGGAAAAATGGCAATACACTGCATGGCAGACATAAGAAAATTATTGACCTTTTTATCAAATGTCTCCCAGTATGCAAAATAAAATTATTGGCAAACAGAGTAAAGCCCAACCAGATGGATTCATTCAAATCCTCAATGCCATCAAATGGGATGACAGCTTTGTACATTTTAATCCCAAGTGTGTCAAAGAGCTAGCCTCAGATATCTCCTTTTAATTTTATATTAATCTTCTGTATTAAAATTAATGAATAAAGTTATTATTATTATTATAACAAATGAGCAACTCACTCAGCAGGCAGACACCAAGTCTTCGGGAAAACTGCATAATCTTTAGGGAACTGTTTCCAGAGTCTATTCATATTCCTTGCTAATAAGTCTTTCCGACAAATTTCACTCATCCCAGGAAAATGGTTGATTTTCTGAAATTTAAAAAATAAAAGGAAAAAATTAAACATTTCTTACTAGCTTATTAGGTTTTACTTCTATTTTCAATATAATCCAAATTTAGTAGTTAGAAGTTGCTCTTTGGAATTTGGTTTTTTGCTGCCGCCAGTCAAAAATATGAAAGGTACCGACTGATTATTCTTGATTGACAGAAGCCAAAAAAAACTAATTTCAGCCAGAGCTTCCAACTGACAAGTGTACATAACATTGAAAACTGTGGTAAAAATAAAGACACTGCTGCGCCTGGGCTTTGATGAGTTTTAGTTAAAGTTTAGACAAATTAATCCGTCGTCTGTTATGAAGTTAATCCCATAAAACCAGATAAATTAATGTTTGGCATACCCAAATCCTATATATGTGGCTAGTAAGAAAATCACAAATTTTGGAGTCTCAAATTTTTGTAAAAATTATCATACCTTGGGAATTATACTGTACTAAGAGCTCGAAAAATGTAGTACTTTAGATTATGATAATCCCAAAAAAACTTTTAAAAGAATTTTGATCCATACGAAGACGGTTATTGACTTTGGTAGGTGTGAGTGCATCATTTATTCATCCCATCTCGAACAACAAGGTTTATTTTTTGGATTGATTTTTGATTCCAAAAAGATTCCCGATCTTCTTTGGACCATTTGAAAATTTAGGATAAATGGAAACCCGTAAGATAAGGGATTTATTAATCTTAGCAAAAAAAAATCCGCTATGTCAACTGACTTACTTGATATCTTTTCATTTCCATACAACGTTCTAAAGCTACTGAGCAATCAGTCCAAAACAACGACCAATCGTCATCCTCACCAACGTCCTTCATTCCAAATCTTTTCGTTACACGACGGACTAATAATAAAAGAATACAGAATGATAAGATTTGAGGGATAATAACAGCATTACTTGAAGTTTACAAACTTTCCAATAGACTATTGTCCCGGGGGATAAGTTAAAATCAACACATACCACTATCGTATTTACAGTTGGTAAGACAGACGCTCAGCCATCTAAAAATACAGAACCGAAAAAAAAAGTTATTAATGAATCCCTTAGATACTAAGCACAACAAAGTAAAGTTCCCATACCTCTTCTTCTTCTTTTTGGGCTTTATCTTCTTTAGAGAAGTTGGAGTTTCAACTGTTTGTTCAGAAACACGCGTCCTTGAAGAACTGAAAGTATCTCCTGCGCTTTCTGCTTCACAGTCACTCTCTCCAGCATCGCTGAGCTCGCCTTCACTACCGCTCATTTCTCCAACAAGTTCCTTTATGGTCATGGTGAATGGTTTTGAGAGATCGATTCAATTTTTGGGCTAGTTTTGGAGTAAATATCGAAGAGCCATTTCGAAGCATTGATCGTTTGTTATGTCTCTATTGYACACGTTAAAGGCTAGCAACCGGAAACAAGCCGCTGATTGGTCGGCTGGTTGCTATGGTATTTTGTTACAGTTGAGCCCGCGATTTGATAATAACACAGGAAGCCCAGTCCAACAATACAACTGTCAGCAATATTTTTTATTATTAGAATATGGAAAAAATTAAATCTTATTAAAATTAATACAATCAAAAAAATGCAGTTTTAAGCTATGTCATATTTCCCTTTCCTTCCAGTTCCTCATCCTTTCTTTCATCAAAAATGGGGATTCCAAGTATAGTAATAAATTCTAGAATTGGGTTACCTGTGTTCTAAATAATGTCTTCCCTCCGTACTCCTCTCTCGATAGAAAACAATTTAGTTGGTTCCGCACCCTCCCATTTCCCAATGCCAAACTGTTTGCCTTGCTCTATTCTTTTAATTTGCCCAAACAGATTGTAATAAGATAAAAACAGAATTTAACCATAACAATAAATCATGAATTTCACATCAATAAAGCTATTTCTCGGCGACGATATGGATGCAAACTCCAATGCAGACATGGTTGTCTTGTTTCCTCTCCCGAGGTTGATCCACCCCACGACGTGCTCTGCGTCCTCTGAAGAGTGTCCTGGGATCCACTCGAAAGTGTACTTCTATCCCAACCTTGCACGTGGGTAGTTGGTTGATCTTTCTCTTCTCTAACTCGATAGCTAGTCGATCTGCAAGTTCTCCACTGAGTAGACCTGTTGTGAAAAAAGAAATATATGTATTAAGTAAAGAGCAGTTACTTTGTAAGATGATAAACTTCCTGCCCGTTGAGTGGCAGCGGCGTGTGAAGTGCATGACAGCCAAGTTTCAGTTCCAGTACGTACAGAGCCAAGAGAATGGCGTTGCGAGTATTTGAGATGGGTTTGTCGGTTTATTTATTGGGGCTCAGCGAGGAAAATTCAGTGAAAAAGCCAAAAATTTGGCGAACGCCCAAACCAAAAATCCCAGCGGCCTTTGGTGAGAGAGTCGAACCTCAAATTCCACCCTCGGATAGGAATTTTGAAACAATTTCTTTTTTTTAATGAATGGGGATCATTTTTAATTGGTACACCTACCTTCCACGTATTCATTGATTTTTCTTTCAACTTCTCCAGCACGTCTGCAAGCAACGGTCTTGTGAAAGAGAAACACTACTTGGTGCATGGTGGAATTGTCTTTCTCTGTCACTGTCTTGGTAACGATCTCTCGATTGAAACCGCGTCCCTCTAAGTTCGCGTCGAGCAACCTTTGGTACACGCTTACATCCCCGGGGTTGAACGAACGGTCGAAGACTCGAAGAGTTATGGATTCCTGGACATGTGCATCTGGAAGAAACAAAAAAAAAAAAAAATCAGTCGAATGTTTTTTTTCCTTCGGTCAGTTCAGTCCCTACGCAAAAATTAACTTCAAAATTTCAATTTGATCAAGGGACGACGGCTAAAGGTTTGTTACGGCCACTGGGCTATTTAATTTAGTGCTATCCTATAGCAAAATACAAACAAACAAAAAATTCGGCGCTAGCCATCACGTGGTATAAATTTTATCGTGCCGAAGTCCAAGAACAATGACCGAACATCATCTTAGTGATCGCAACACAATCCAATAAAATTTAAAACCAAATTATTTACTTGATTCGTTGAGTTATMTTCCTAAATACGAGCAAAATATYATTTTTCTAACTTGATTGAAGCTTTCCCTGCTGCTATTTAGAGAAACAGATAAACAAACTAAGTAAATAATTTGTTTAAAAGAATCCAAGAACAATGTTCGACCTTTTTGGTGACCGTAACATGATCCAACGCGATTTATAACACGTGGCCGAAGTAGTGAAAAAACGAACAAACAAGGACCAGAGATTAATTTAAGAGTGGCGAATGAATGCCTTGAATTCACTGCATGGGCCAAAAACAAGTGTGAAAAAAACAGGGTGTCTGTATTAAGGCGCGCTATTAAAACAGAACCCACAGATTGTTATCAATAAAARCATTCGATGCAGAGGTAACCGACTCAATTTGAGACGGTATACTGAAACTGATTAAATTTTTACCTGCATAGTTCCAAGCGACGAGAACACAGAAGATAACAACGTTGAGTACAGACATCTCGATTGGCACTAATCAAAGGAAGATAATATTCATGCACAGAATTTAACTTGCTTAGAATCGACTCTCTGAGGTTCCCGTCCGTACTCTTCTGCCGGGCTCAGCAACTGTGATTTTTCGTCTGCAAGTCATGATATTTATAGGTGTTCGATACGCAAGTAAACGTGATGTTCACCTATCAAGGGTATTTTGATATTCCAAGGTTTTGTTGAGGTAAACTCTCGATAGGAATCCCTTTCCTGTTCCGGTCGTGGTGCTTCCGGATGTGAACAATGCCAAGTGAAGTCCCATTTTTCCTCGACGACGAACTTGGGTTCAAACGTCTTCCCACTTTAAGGGACCAGTCATTTATTATCTCCTGGGGTGGGTCGAAGGACTTTTGTTCGTTGTGACTTCTTGAAGATTAACTGACACCCCCAACCCCCCACGTTTGGCAAACCTTTATTAAAACGTCATTAACCCTCCCTCTTTGACTTTGGATAATTTTATACATGGCTACCCAGAAAAATAAAAAATAAATTTTGAATACACGATTCATCTTCAGTGACGTCAACTGAACGATAGTCCTCTTCCGAGATATGCTTCGCTTGTCACGCACAACGGTTTCAGTACGAGGCTACGTGCTAAATCAAATTTATTCTTTTCTCCTTTCACGAATCACTGAGCATTATGCACGAAGCCTCACATTGAAACCTTTGTGCGTGACAAGCGAAGCATATCTCGGAAGAGGGCTATATGGAGTACAAAGCAAAATAATTTCAATCTCCTGAGTTTTGGAAACCTTTTGTTATATCCTCTAAATAATAGTGCTGCATTCCGAAGTGCTGCAAGGGTTCTATAGGACTCTAATGAAGTTAGTAAAGTAAGTAATCAAGATTTTGCTGATTGTCGCCGAAGTCAGCAGCGGTTAATAGAGAGTTTAAGRATATTAGACAGATTAAGATTCCCGTTTTTCCTGCCTGCAAACGGCAAACGTGACCACGTTTTCCTGTATTTCACTTTACCTATGCTGCAAACCTTCTCTCTATTCTCGTTGACGGCAAACGTGAAACGTCAGTTGACTATTAAAAAATTCTTTAAAATTAGTGAAAAGGGATCGCAAAAATCTTCAAGTAGTAGATAAACAAAAGAATACTTGTCTTTGTCAAAGTGGTTTGTAAAAGGTAAAAAACAAATTACAGGAAAGTTGATAAAAACGTGGTCACGTTTGCCGTTTGCGGGAAGGAAAAACGGGAATCTAAATCTGTCTAATGTCATTAGGGAACGCGGTTTTTGGCATGTGAAGGACGTCTTGTTGGTCATATGTAGTTGTAGTATTGTTTGTGTTTAATCTTAAGCTAGCGCTTACCACTTGTAGGAAAACGTTTATGAATAAACTACAATGAAAAACGAATGAATATTCAAGCCACTTGAAACCCTCTTCTCCCGACCCCTCTGAAGCCTTACTTAATTCTAACTTATCTTTTTGATGATAAAATATTACTCTGTTCTGGAAACCACTACGTGCTCATTCAGAACTGGCGTCCGGGGTTTTGTGGTTCGCAAAGGAATTAATTACTTCCGCCAGAAAAAGATTTCGAGATGGGACGCCCACTTACTGTACATACACAGGAAGCCCAAGCCGACATGGGCTATCCTTATAAAATAGCACCACTATACACCTATTTATTTCCTTGAGATTTCACAAGGTTAGGCGGGCCTCAATGACAGTTTTATCACCACTTTAAATGATAATTCTATATTTGGCAGGGTATAAAATGAATTAATAGCACTGAAATTATTCGACATGGCAGGATGCTATATTAATCCTTGCACGTCACGAGGGTAATTACTGGCTTTCAATAACACTTGGTCTTGATTCAAGTTTTTGTCTTACTGAAAAAAAATGGAAGAAATAACGACTGAATTTTCTAGAGCGGTTTTCGTATTTTTGGGAACTGACGATACTGACTTACAGCACGYCAGGGTACTGTACTACATGCGGCAATATTATTTGTGATAGAAAAGAATGCGTTTAAATCCCAGGAGAGGTTAATTACCTGTGGGGTACCGCATGGATCCATACTCGGTCCTCTCCTATTTCTCCGATCCTATATATTAATGATCCACTGAATTGTTTAGAAACCTCAACTCCAAATCTGTTTGCAGATTATACTCTAATACAAAAACGTGGTGTAGTTTAATAGAGCTGATGCTGAAAACGAGGCCCACRTAAACGTGGCCAAAACCGAGTTCATGTTAGTAGGATCTGTCAAATTTAGGCGTAATGCCAACACTTACAATGGGAGAAAAAGCGGATAGATATATTGTCTAGGGAAAATAATTATCAGATAAAATACAAAAATTTCAAAATAGCCGAGCGGGCAGATTATTCTTGGCACTGACTACAGAACCAGTTTTACTTTGGTCCTAGATGCATGTATTGGATGTTTCCCACAGATACGAAAACAGCTTTAGAAAATTCAGACATTCCGTTTACCCAAATACTTAAATGACACAATGTTTTGAAAAGCTAGTAATTTACCCTGATGAATTACCACCTATGGTTTGATATTTTATTGAATTATTTTCATACCCTGAGCATGAGGTAGAATTATCATTTTTATCATTTCAGGGAGAGGGGTTAGGTCCTCCATGTTGAATTTATAGTAGCCGTTCACTCCATATCTCGTTGAAGCCCWTAACATGCACTCAATTGAGGATTATCATATGATCCTAAGAATCCCAGTTCGACAAAAAARATTTATTATAATTACATAAGTTTTAAATTTGAAAACAATTAAACACATACACATAAACGCTTGACAAAACACTGCTGTCCACTACTCCCTAAAGAATGGTTCTTACTATTTAATTATATCTAGAGGATCCAGTCTAGGCTATTCTAGTACGTACTTCAAGTTATACAATTGAACGAAGCTAACAAAGCCGAGCTAAGCCGAATACAATAGCTTCGTGATTGAATAACGTAGACTGTGCCCTCTACACGAAGATATCCCAAGGACAAGGCTAATTAATATTGTACAAATATATGCAAGTCAATTCATGATTTTCATTCGCTTCTCATCTTAACGCGTGGTAAGGACTATTGAAACAAGATTCCACAAATTTGGTGCGGATATATACAAGATATTTTATTTCTTTACTGTAGGAAATTTTCAACGCCAGCTAGTATATACCATGAATTGCAGAGGAATATTTTTATCGCTTTCTCGGCTTCACCGCTCTCAGTAAAAGTAAATCCGCGAAAAAACCCTCCTGCAGAACCCAGGTTGTCTTGTCGGCAATTAATCTTACACGAAAATTCAGAGTCAGAAAATTTTATCTTAACTATTTCTAACTAAAATCTCAAAAGGCAAATTTATACTTTGGGATTTTTCTTCGACAGAGAATCGCAAAGAAAATGGAGAAAACTGTCTTCTTGGCTGTGTTGGTACTTTGTGATACTCTTGTCTTGGCGAAAAAAAGGTGTGGAATGAAATATGCAATGACTTTTTTTGATATTGATTATCTCAATGGTTGGTAGGCATGGGTGGCGTAGTGACTTACCGCTCGCCTCTCACCATTGTGGTCCGGGTTCGACTGTCCCGCTCAGATGTGATCATGTGAGTTCTAGATCCTGCGTTTCTTCTGGCCAGCGGCGAAGAACGAGGATAGCACGCACGGAATCGGTTGGAAAATAATGTTAAGAAGCCTAGTCTATTTGGTGCATTTTTCTCACGGCTCTTGTTAGGCTGATTCTCCTCGAACCGTGGCCCAGTGGGAAAAACGTGGGCTTAATTCAATGAACCGAGTCAAGTCCGGTTGAGCAAACTTTGTAACTGGATGGGTGAGCTTAAAGTTATGAAAAAAGCTACAAAAAAAGGTCCCCCCGTAAGCTTAAATCTATAAAAAATCGATTTCGTATACTTAGAGGAGTTGTCAAAAATTGAAAAAACACAACACCACTGAACTTTACATAGAAATTATATATATATATTAAAAAAAAAAAAACCCAAATAGCAACATTAAGCTTACTCATTCGCCGATACTTCATTACAGGTCTTAGTTGTAGTTTAGCTTGGATTTGGTAAACTCCAGAGCGCCTGGCCAAGAAACATTTCCACAGCATGATTGATTAGCCCTCTTCCGAGATAAGCTTCGCTTGTCACGCACAAAGGTTTCAATATGAGGCTACGTGCTAAATTAAATGTATTTTTACCGCCCGTCACGAATGACTGAGCATTTAGCACGTAGCCTCATACTGAGACCTTTGTGCGTCACATGCGAAGTATATCTCGGAAGTGGGCTATTGGAATAACTGATATGCTAATTAGTTGTCATGTTCGTATGCCTGCCAGTGAAACCGCTTGGAATTCGTTATCACGATCGCTATGAAATAGTTATTGCTCAAGTCAACCTCGAACGTGTACGACTAATTTCAGAATCAAATGCGGTTGACTCTAAGCGCACAATGTAGTTATCTCCGATACATTTCATTTTGTCAGTTCGGGAATCGAGAGTGGAGTAAACCAAACATGCTAAAAACTCAACGCGATCTCTGTTTTTGCAGTGCTGTGACTTTGGTCCGCAGGTCGATATATCTCTTAGGGGTAAAAATCAGCGATTTGGTATCTTTGAGGGTGTTAAAATTGAAATTTAGAATTTCGGCATTTCTTGGTATGTTTTAGGGTATCTCTTAGGGGTAACAAATCATCCAGCCACGCCCATTTTAAAGAAATTTAGGTATTTTTTAGGGGTATTTTGAAAAATATTCCGACGAGCATATCCTATAAAGCGTTCTCACTGACGTGAGAAGGCAGCCATAAACAATAGAAACTTTCTGCACAGTATTTGCATAAAAATAGAGTTCAATTGGCCCGGAGGATAGAAAATGTATYGTTTTGGTTCCCCATAATGGCCGCTGTGACGTCACGTGAAAACGCTCTATACACTTTATCCCGGTTTTCCCCCACTCCCGGGCTTTGGGTTATAACGAGCTAGCTTCACTTCAGAACAGCAAACGCCGGAGCGAAAAAAAAATGACCTCTGGACCCCAGGGTAGTAAGATTTCTACACAAAACATTTTCTTGTGCAGCTGCTTCTCGCTTCCTTCTCAGATATTGATACCTAGCTTTGGCATTTATGTCACTGTAACTGGACTGTTAGTCTGAACCAATGACGTATTCTCTCGGGCAGCTGCATGGCTAGAGCCCTGCGAATCTGGCTCATCTTGGCGCAATATAAAATAGGGTTAAAAAGTGAGTTCAGAAGAACTAAGCCCATGCTAGCGATGAAGCAGAAGAATGCTAATGGTGGACTACTTCCTACGTTAATGATTACTGCGGTGACCATGAATGGAGCATAACATACCAGGAATAGTCCATAGATCCATAACATATTCTTGGTGTTCTTCCAACGCTGTGATGTCATGTTGTTTTGTTGGTTGTTGCCATTATACGGTGCCCGAACTTGGCAAATTTCCCGTTGATGTCGGCGAACTATTTTGAGGATTTTAGCGTTATTGACGCAGGATATGATGAAGCATATTGCCAAGACGGCAATCGATAACCACAGCAGCCAGTTCGTTGCCCAAATTTGAATTAGAGCGATTAAAGATGTCATTATCCAAACAATAGCGATTATGATGGCAACGCGTTTGTTGGTGACAATCGTTGGGTATCGCAGATTAAGATGCAGTGCAATCATACGATCGACACTAACTAAAGTCAACGTGATAACAGACACACCAGATAACCAGGGTAAAATGAAGTTTGGTATTCGTCTGTACCAGCACCACATCTTCAACAAGGTTTCATCTTCTATGGTGTACACCACAAACGGTACGACCGTGGAAGGCATAGCCAAGGCTCCAATGGCAAAATCAGAAAGCGCCAGGCCAAACAGCAGAAAAAACGACGGTGTATGTAGAGATGGGGTTCTGTAGATGCCTACAAGAACTAGACCATTCAATGTGGCTGTTATAATAGATGCGAGTGTAATTACTATCACAGAAAGGATGAAAAAACTGAAAGATTTGATGCGAGAGGATTCTTCGATTAACGGACATTCAGATGCAACGAGATGTTTCAGTATACCCGAGGTCTTACTGCCGTTCATGATTCTTGCAACTAGTGATTAACAATGTTCAAACGTTTCGTTCCCCCGAGTTGAGTATATAGAATAAAAGGGATTCTTTTCTCTAGAGCAAATTTATCTGTAAAGCCGCGAAAATACTAGAAGAACATCCGCAAATGAAGGAGTTTCAGTTGCAATTGTTTAGCTCTCAGAAGCTCTTGGGCACTCCACACCTGTCAAATCAGCTTAGCTCTTATAGCGAGCCCCTTTCAAGGTTTCCTACAAACTAAAAACCATCAAACCACGTGATGTTTACGTGTTCTCTAGAGAATTGTTCCTTTATCTTTCTGAAATTTATTCGTTCATATTTACGTGGATATGAAAACATTTGAAAAGAAACAATTCTACTTATGACATCACGTAAACACTATATCACACGGTTTGAAGTGGACAATAGATTCCTTGGGTATATTGGCCCCCATCTCAGTCTAGAAAGGGAGTTTGGAGATCAAACAGGAAGTTCAACAATTTTATCCTTTAATTCACTGCTATCATAAATGCGTGGGTTTGAAGACATTATTCTTGGAGAGCTTAAAGTGCTTGAATAAGTCTTAGAAATCGATACTAATGTAACTCTGAGAGCACAGTAACTCGACGAGGAAGTAAAATACTCTCTATTGTACATAACCTTTAAATTTAATCGTTACCCTGGAACAACCTCTGGGCTGATCTAAGTCAGGGCACGGCTAACTCACAGATTAAACCCTGGAACAACCTCTGGGCTGATCTAAGTCAGGGCACGGCTAACCCACAGATCGAACACTGAAACTACCTCTGGGCTGATCTAAGTCAGGGCATGGCTAACTCAGATCAAACCCTGAAACAACCTCTGGGCTGATCAAACTCAGGGCACGGCTAACTCACAGATCAAACCCTGAAACAACCTCTGGGCTGATCAAAGTCAGGGCACGGCTAACTCACAGATCAAACCCTGAAACAACCTCTGGGCTGATCTAAGTCAGGACACGGCTAACTCACAGATCTAACCCTGAAACAACCTCTGGGTTGATCTAAGTCAGGGCATGGCTAACTCACAGATTAAACCCTGAAATAACCTCTGGGTTGATCTAAGTCAGGGCACGGCTAACTCACAGATTAAACCCTGAAACAACCTCTGGGTTGATCTAAGTCAGGGCATGGCTTCTTACAGAACGAACCCTGAAACAACCTCTGGGTTGATCTAAGTCAAGGCATGGCTAACTCACCTATCAATTCAAACCCTGCAAACAACATCTGGGCTGATCAAGTCAGGGCACGGCTGACTCACAGATCAAACCCTGAAATAACCTCTGGGCTGATCTAAGTCAGGGCATGGCTAACTCACAGATCAAACCCTGAAACAACGTCTGGAATTTAGCTTTGGTAGGTCTGTTAGAGGGAGAAAAACTGTTGAATCTTCCCAGATTCTCTCAGGATTGTATGATACTAATCTTCAAAAAACAAAAAAACAAAACAAAAAAACACACACAAAAAAAACAGAAAAACAACAAAGGTTTTTCTTGAAAGTGTTGCTCAAGAAATTATAATTGTTTTGGGTAAATGGGTTCCCTCAGAGCACTTCGTATCTTGTCACAGTGTGCAATGTTTTTGTTCGTGCGCTAACAGATGTTTGGAAATAATTATCACATGCCACCTGGTCGAATACAAGCAAACCCTTGTCTTAGGGGACTTTCATGTACTAGCGCATGTAGAGGAGGGGGGG